TGTAGTATGCTCTGCATCAACGTTTGTATTTGAGTCCAAAATTTCTTTGCAATTTTACATGTCCACCACATATGGTAAAACGGTCCCATGTGCTCTTTCCATTAATCAAAAAAAATACTTCATAAAATAATTAAGCTAATAAGAAACCTTTGTGTATCACTCATGGGCCTAACAATTTTTCCGTGTTCACTGTGTTTGTTCTCAATTCAGAATCAACTAAATTCCAGTTTCCAGGGGGAATAATCCAGTGGGCTCGGTATGTAAAGGATGGAAAAGGTTTAAAACCCAATGAAAAAATTTACAGTGAATTTCTCCATTCGGTAAGTATGTGGGTAAAAATGCTATCTTACTCTGGAGGCCCAGCTAGTCTGAGCAGTCATTATTTTATTCAAATTTTATTTGGGGGGTCATTAAAAACTCCTATAAAATGTGAGTTTATGTATGTTAATACTTTGCAAAATGTATCTATTTGCAATATTGGAAATTATTCCACTCTTCCACCATTGTGGAATAAATAATTCACTCAAGATTCGGTGTTTAACAACAAGGTATACATAGCATTAAAACATCCATGGTAAATACAATTATTCACAATAAATTAAAATTTAAAAATAAGCAATAATATGAAGGATGATGTAATAATTTCCCCAATGCTACTACTGTATATATTTGTGGTTTGCTTCTTCCTTTCAGAAGGAAGATACTCTTACCCTGGGAACACTCCGGATCTACAGCAATGGTTTACGACAGCCCCATTTCCATTTCAACGCCAATGAGATGGGATATGTCATCAGTGGGTGTGGGAAGGTAGTAACTTAATTTTAACCACTGTGATGCAGACCAACTATTCCCAATCTAAGAATTCTGGGAATTACAGTTGGAGAGTACCAGGTTGGGGTTGGCTGCAGTATCTTCCCTGAGAAGATCTGTGCAGAGTTCAACAGGTCCTGGATAAGCTTTATTTCAATTTCTGGTGAAGTCCTGTAGTGTTGACAAGTAATAAAATATTCCATTGCCCCACAAGAGGTGATACTGTATCCATCAACATATTTCAAAGAATGAAATTAGCCTTCTCCAATCCTCTGGCAGCTTCTCCTGGTGCATTCATACAGCTTAATATTAACCAGGCAATTTGCACATAAGGATAGGCCACAATCATGGTTTACTGTGAAGAGATCTGCAGGTACATGCCCTTCAACTGCTCTCACTTATCAGTGGGAAACACTGAATAAGTCCCAAAGTCAATTTGGTCTGTTTTGCACTAAATGTACAGTGAGATCCATGGATAGTAGTTCTCACAACAAACATCATAAGCCAGCAGAAAGCACCAAACAAACAGAGTTTCCTGATTTGCTTAGTTATTCCTGCTGGCAGGAGAAGTCAAGTGGGAACCACAGGCAATTTGGCAATTTCTCTTTTGAAAGAAATCTAATTTATAGTTATGTGTGAGCCAGACCAGTATGTGTTGTCAGGCACACAGGAAGAGGGAAATCCTAGGGAAAGAAAATACAAGGAAGTATAAGAAAAGAATATGGATTGACTGATGTCTTTACTCTATACAATGCCATCTGAATTAATTCCCATATATATTGTGAGATTGGCTGATGATGTCCTCCTCAAACTGTTAGTGAGATGCAACCATCAAGAATATTAAACACGCATTTCATGGAATCAAATTTCCTCCTCCTCCTCGAAAGTTTGCCAGTACTTGCCATTTTTAATTGATTTGGACATATTTTATGTGAAAGTGGTGGTGATGGGGTGCATGTGAGAGGATGGTGGTGGTAAACTGTTCTGCTATTTCTATCTATTGTTCTAGTTTATTGTTAGTGTTTTTTAGTCTTTGGAATTTCAGTTGTTAAGTGGATTAAAATATATTAAGTAAATAAATCCGCTGAAAGGATGGTTATTTAGTTTTAAAAAAACACTTGAAATTGTTGCTGTTCTTAGGTATCAGATAATTGAGATTCCTATTGTAATTTAGGTGCTATGTTCTGTTTTTCTTACATATAAAATAATTTAGGAGGGTTCAACCATCTCTGAGTTTCTGTTTCTGTAAAGAAGTAGGGTAGGAGTAGGGAAAAATACATGGGATTGTAGTTAAGAATGTTCCTAACTCTTCCATTGAAATGAATGGATCTTAAGTGAGTTGAATATAGATTTTTGCCTTTTCATCAATATTGTAGAATACAATGGCCTGTACTAACACCATCAATATTCACTTGCAAACACTGCAAGGAGTCAGTCTGGTAGTAGAGTAAAATGAAACCAAGATTAGTGGTCCGGATATGCATGTATTAATTCCTGCTGATGCATCTTATCTGCAGGTGGGTGTTATTGTGTCACCTACCCTTTCTACTGACTTTACCATTGGTATTGGAGATGTTGTGTTCTTCCCAGTTGGAACCCAACACTACATCAAGAGCACATGTGATGAGGACTTGCTTTTCATTTTGGCATTCAGCACCGGAAACCAGGTGAGACGTCCATTTGAGTTCCTAGAACTTCTGCTGTACTTGCCTACATTCCCAGCAGAGACCCACAATTTAATTAGGACTCTAAAGTTATTATGAACCAAATGTAAGTGTTAAATGTTTTGGAGATTAAAATAAAGCAACTAACTGTACATCATAGTACGTTGTATATATGGTGCTAATTTTATAATTTATTGTAAATTACTGTAAGGTGCTCTCTGCCCTTATCCATGATGCTGTACTTACAATCCCTTCCTATGGCAAGTTTCGAGTTTCGCTATTATCTCATAAGTCCCTCAGCAACCACTGACCAGAATGTCTGAGAAATCACCTTCTCCCATATAGATCTGCCTGTCAGCTGTGATCAGCAATGATTGAATAATTTCTGATTGAACTACCCTCTGTGTTTTTTATTTATTTGGATTGAGTTGATTGCCCACTGCAACATAGAAATGTCAGGGACTTCTATATCTTCTGAAGGGATTAAACTCTAGGCTTCTTCTTCCCGCTGTCCCGAATTAACACAAAGTAGGTGAGTGACTTAGTAGCCTTGGGCAGCTGTGATGCGGTTCCATAATGGCCATTTGTAGCCTGGGAACCAATGACTTCCACCTCACCAATTTCAACTTTTACAGAAAATATGCTTGGGAGACATAGCACCTGTCTGAAACTCTTTAAAGCAGCAATGTCTTTTCCCAGGACTGTGTGGCTGCTTCTAACAATTGTTCTAAAGATTCATAGATAGGTGCTATGCCCCTGCTGAAGTATTGCACAGCCTTAATGCTTATCCTATGAAATACCACAATCTGACAATAAAGCATAAGCTAATATTATTTCAATTTAAGTACATGAAAACATTTTCATTCATTTTGGAATATGACATGTCTCCTATGTCATATTATTTATGGTCACTGGTCTAGATGTTTCTATGTTTAAATTTTTTCAATTTAATTTTTTAAAAATTGATTTATACATGTATCCTTTTTAATGGTATAAAAAGCATTGTACAGTGTCTAGAGATGCACAGAATGACAAACAGTACAGTAAGTGTACAGAATTGATAATGGTTATTAACATACTCTCTCCCTCAAAAATTTGCATAGTCTAATAATAATAATAATAATAATAATAATTTATTAAACTTGTATGCTGCCTGACTCTCAATGACTCTGGGCAGCTGACAATGATCAAAGAAATTACAGTAAAATCAATAAGACATAAAAGATAAAAGATGAAGATAAAAGATGGCAAGTGGGATGAAATTAGGGGCCTCCCTCTTCCTCTCCCTTGCCGAAGGTCTGGATGAAGAGCCAGGTTTTCATGGCTCTTCTAAACAACAGCAGAGTGAGTGCCCCTTTTGGACTTTTTGCAGGAGACAGAAAAAAAAGAAATTATGATATGTGGATTTGATAATTAGTGAATAGGTTATACAAAATATGTTAAGATGTAGTTTTAGAGTAAGAGCTTACTGTACGATTTATCTATGTCTGCTGTATAAGAAGTCAGAAGTCATTCTTTTCGTAAATTTTCCTTTCTTCCCTTTTCTTTACTTTCCATCACTTTGTATTCTTTCTTTATCTCTAACTCTCTTGTTCTGTACCTCTCTTTTTGATTATTAGTTCTTGTTTCTTTTATCTTTATGCTTTTGATAACTTAATAAAGTTCTTATAAAAAAATAAACAACAGCAGAGTGGGGTCCATCCAGATCTTGGGGGAACCTCATTTCAGAGGGCAGGTGTGTCTTCTCATACTATTACGTAATATTGTGTATTATTATTCACATGTTCACATAATACACATTCATATAATATTACACCAATAGTACATGAAGACTAACACATAACCCTTATACCTCCAATCCTTATGCTATTTGTTTGCTTTGGCAGTTGAAAACTCTAGATATGGATGACTATTTCCATGCAACAGCCGACCATATATTAGCCCAGGTGTTCTTCAAAAAGCAAGATGAATTTAAGAAGATTCCAAGGTTTAAGGACGATCAGGCAATTAATCTACCATAGCATCTATGGTTTGGATTTTAATCCTAATATATAAACCATCTAGAGTTGCCTTTGCGATTGAGGTGGTAATTATGTTGATTAATAAAAGAATTTCAATAATAAAAGAAAATCTCTATTCATTTTTAAACCTGCCATTCTCTACTTTCTTGGTGGAGTTTTATAATATTCTTCAAATAAAATGATTAATCAATCAATATGGGCATTACATCTTCAGTTGCACCAATTTAACGTCGATGTCCAGGCTATAATTGAAGGCATCAGAACAGGGTTATCTATACTTGCCAATCTCATAAAGTCCCAGCACATCTCAGCACCTTGGTGATCTTGAAAAAAGCTAATCCAGATCAAGCCGAGTTAGTATTTCTGTGGAACACCACCAGGAAATTCTAGGCCAGGAGGCTAAACTTGGAAGCCAATAAAATATGCTGGAGTATGGCATTAGCACATCACTTTCTTATTGCTGCTGAGAAAACATGAGCATATCTACAAAATCACCCACAGTCAAGCTTGACTTAGGACTTTTGTCCTCTTAGAAGAAAATATGCACACATTATCTGTGGTTTGCTGTTAGTCACTCCCCCAGTTTTATGATATATTCACTTTCTAAACTACTCCCATCTTTTGGTCCTCAGATCCAAAGCACTGCAAAGAGTAACCATATGTCTGTATATATAGTAATATACCACACACACACACATGTATCTATGCATGCTTCTTTATATGTGCACTATCATGTTGTTGATCCTAGGCACTGAATTCAAGACACTGGCCTTACAGAGGTGCATTGCGGTTTCTTCTGAGAGTCAACGGGGAGTTGACTTCCTGTTGAGTTGTTTGAATTCATGTGTGATAAAATGCTTATCAGCTGGAACTATACAGATAGTGCTGTTGATTAATCTGTGGCAAGCACAGAACAAGGCTTTCCAGCAGATGTCTCTCTTTAGCTTCTTTTTTATTTTGTCTAGTTTAGGGCCTTGCTATATTTTTTCTAAAAGAAACTCTGGTTCAGGTGATAGGCTAACCATTTGGCTACACTCACTCAGAAAGCAAAACCAAATATTGTCCCTATTCTCAAGTAGCTCAAAATGGACAACTGTGAAGATTCAGAAAATGAACATTCAGGATACTCTAAAAAAAAAAAATCAAAGCTGCATTGGCCAATGGGGGCGGGGGCGGGGAATCCAAAACCAGTTGTTGGGATAATAACAATAAAGCTGAAGAAAGAGTGGAACACCTAGTCAGCTGCTGCAAGAAGATCGCACAGACTGACTACAAACAACGGATGACAAAGTAGCAACAATGGTGCATTGGAATATCTGTAAGAAATATCACTTGCCTGCAAGCAAGAACTGGCGGGACCCACCAAGCAGACAAAGTAATAGAAAATGAAGAAGCTAAAGTGCTCTGGGACTTTAGAATTCAGACAGACCACCCCCTGCCACACAATACCCCAGACTTAACAACTGTTGATAAGAAAGACAAAA